CACAACAACAGTGGAAGGCACCTTGGTTCTGAGATAACTCCACCACTGAGAGCACACTTCTGTTAGCGTCATTGTCAACCAAGTCCTTGAACTCCCACCGATTCTCATCTTTTAAAATCAGCTGTGCTAACTGTGTTCAACAGAATACACCGCAACTGGGGATTCTGGAAGGAATTTAATTCAGATATACATTTACAATACGTAGGTGTTTTGAATGAACAAAGCAGAGCATAATAACAGCCCACAGCAGGATGACAAGGAGCATGACAGTTTAAAATTGAGAGCAATGGACAGAACGAGTCTTGCATTTTGCACCAGGAAACAGTGGTGGATGCAGGCTTAGCAGTGACTCACAAGCAAATTGGTTGGGCAGGAAGAGAATGTGGAATTTTAACAAATGGATATGAAAGATATCTATTTACAGATATAAATAAAAACCTCTCATCCAAGCTGACAGGAATTCAGCAATTATAACAGCAGCATAGAACTTTGAATGCATACTACATGTTCTGATAGATGCTTGAGACAACAAAGAGCTGTCACCTGTGGGGGAAAAGGCAGAGCTGAATCTGATCCAAAGAGCCATGCAAACACTTTGAAAAGTCTGTACAAACCATGGAGATGAAAGTAAAGTAGTGCCCGTGTTGCAGAACATGATGCATATGCAGGAAAGCCCACATACTGCATGCCCTTTCAAGGGTGGCCTATAAAACTGATGAGGTGGATGCCAACTCTTTCTTGGCAGGCCAGTTCCCTGTATACAGCTGGGTCACATTTAGCCATTTCTTTGATAATAGATCTGCATAGGCCAGGCTGACCCCTCCAGAGCCTGCCCAATCATGGGGATTAGATGATCCTCTCCCTGGTGAGTCGAGTTGCTCTGCTAATCTGCATTGACATGCACCTATTAACAGCAATAGTGTCATGGGTTTGGATGAAGATAGCACAAATGATGCTCAGAAACTGCACATGGATGTTTAGATGCCCTGATGCACCTCAAATGGCACCAAGAATGACATTTAAGCAACTTACTTAAGCCCTAGATCCTTTATAAAAGTTCATACTGATATTTTCTAAGACCACGACTCACCTAACCACAGATAGCTGCTGCTGTTTGAAATGACCTTTGCTGTCTAATAATCCATAATCACAGAGATGAATACAGAACAGGATCTAAAGGAGACTCAAGCCTTTCTTATGCCACAACAGTTGAATGTGATGCAAGATCCCCAACAGTGACTAAAATGACAAGATATGTAGACATGTCTGAATGTCTGAATATGTAGATACATCTGAATACTCATGCTGATACTTTTAAAGTCCTGTTCAAGTGCTGTTCACCACCTTATCTTGCACACAAAGTTCATTGCATGATCAGAGCTGGAAAGTGGAGAGGGATGAAAAGTTTTTAATGATTTTATTCCTTTTGGATTGTGGCTGCAAATAAACAAATATCTTAATAAACATAAGCATTGGAAAATGAAACCTATGCTCTTGGATTCATTTTTTTTCTTTTTTCTTTTTTTTTAAGTTTATGAAGTCGTAGTTTTGTCTCATGGGCAAAAAATAATCTAAAATGTGAACTGAGGGCTAAAGCATGCCTCTTAAAAATTACTTTTCTCCACATGCCAATATAGAATAATGGAATTTAGTGTTTCCAATAATTCATCACCTAAGGACAAACTTCCAGTTTGCCTGTCTGCTGGTGTGAAGGGACTTTCAAACTACTCTATATGTCTTATTCTTCTAATCTGGATTTTCTGATGGATCACTCTCCAAGACATTTGTACACTGCTTCTCTCTTACTTGTATTTATACAAGCAACTCTGTAATGGGCTGAATGACTCTGGATAACTAGACAAGCACACCTTCAAAGCATCGTGGATTAAAATTGGAAACATTTCAAATTAGATCTCCAAATTGATATCTGATAATTGCAGAGCACTTTAAACCTCATACTGCTGGTTTTGCTTCCAACCAGTAATTTCGATTTTAGTTAGAAAGTGAAGAACTTTCACATCAATTTCCTTCATCCTAATTATTCAAACCCCAATGCTTCCCAAGGCCAATACTTACACTAAGGCCAAGTACATACCCAAACATGATGAGAGCTTGTCCTGTTTCAAAAAGTCCAGTTTTTTCTTTGCAGTTTTTCAGAAGTGAACTGGAATTTCAGCAGGAACTCCTGTGGCTGCCCTTCTACATTTTGATCTTATTTCACTTAATAAAGCACCTCTAAAATCTAACTGTAAGTGTGCCTTCATGAATAACTGTGGAGCAGAAGGGGGATTTTTCAGTAGCGCCCACATTACTTTGAAGTGAGATTTTTTTTATCAATGAATCTTCAGCTCTAGAGCATGTTTGACAGTTCTAAGTCAACTAGCTAGCACTCCTTGGGTAAATAAAATTAAAAAAAAAAATCAAAATAAAAACAAATGTAAATATTGAATCAAGGCATCTATTTCTTCTATGATGTAATGTGGCGATAGGCAGGATAACAGTGAGTTAAGAGGAAATTATTATTTTAGTCTTTATTGATGCAAAAGACTGAAGTTACAGAACATTAGGCAAAGCCACCCTCTTCCTTGCCCCGTACTTCAGGAGGAACAGTTACAGACAAGAAAATGATCCCGGTCCTTACAATGCAGCTAATAATTAAATTAATTTGGAACAGTTGACAATATCATATTGTTGAACATAACTGCATGTACAGTATATAAATACAACAGCTTTCTGTTTCTTGTCAAGAACATAAGCCAATCACATTTTTGTTTAAGTTAGCTTGAGCTCAAGTACACTTCCTTCTTAAATATATGTTATGTACACCATAACCATTAAATCTGGAGTTTCACTCCCCACATCTTAACTTGAAATTTATATTACAGTACCTTAAAAGCTAAATGAACAGCCTTGTAATTCACAAGAGCCTTCTGTCAGATTTCCCATCTTTTAAATCTTTGGCAATGTTTCATGGGAACACTCTTATTATTCAGACAGAGTAATTCTATTTTAGTTCTACTAATGACAATTTTAGTGGCATCCAAAGCAAGATATTCCAATCCTTCAATCTTTCTATTTGAAAGAACAGGCCACACAAATGCTCTGAGTGTTAAACTAATGAAAATCCTACACTGTAGGAGAAACATTGTGTAAAACATATTAACTAACATTTTAAAGATGCATAAGATAAAACATCATGAGACACAGCAACATTGACCCACTGCATAAAAACACTGCTTCATATCTGGCCAATCAATGGCAATAAATCTCCTTCACAGGTGACTGATGGTGGGACACAGCAGCAAAATCTGTATTTAGACCAGGTCATCCAAAGTTTGACAGCTCAAACTCAATTCCTCAAACTTACCAAGCTTTTAAACAGGTGATCTTAGTTTCAAAACGCTGCTGCATTCACCTGGCTATCGTGGCCACCTACTGAGCTCAGCAAATCTTCATGTCAGCATTCACTTGCACAAGTCAAACAGTACCACCACACTTTGAGCTGGTCAAGATCTGCTGCAGCGTGGCTTTCTCAGAGGTGAGACACATCCCTAGGACACAGCCCTTGAGGAAGAGATGATATGAAAGGACTCGACAATCTTTTGTTCTCCAAACACTGTGAGAAAGATACAAAACTAACAAGAAAAATAACTTTCGTTTAAATTCTAACAATCCTACTAAAACAGGTTGCAGTTGAATATTTACATCAAGTAAAGTTTGCCATACAGAAATAGTCATATTGTTATAGTTATAGAAATAGTCAATATTGTTATGTAGTGTATGGTTTACAACAGATTACCAAGCACACTGAGACATCTGATGTCTTTTCAAACAGCTTAAAGACCAAAAAGCCTTTAAGACAAGAAGCTGAAGCTACCTTATGCCCCTCTGATAATTACCTGTTTGCTCCTCAGCAACACTTTCATACAAGAAGTTGACACTATAGCATTAAACCCATTGGGAATTGTGCCCTTAAAGTCCTGCCAAATATTTAACCTTGTCCATACTAAATGAAAAATAAAAGCATTGCTCAGAACTATTGCTTGAACAAATAAATGCAGGCAGTTCAAACTACATGTGGAAATTCCTAGCAGAAATGTCTTTACAAGCATGGAGAAAAAAGTGCTCAAATACAGTCACTACATGGTAGATGACTGGAGAAACATTCAGAAAGTATAAACATAGATGTATCTAGGACTATATTATTTTAGCAGTCTAATGCCAAATGGTAGACTACCAAATGGTAGATTTCTGAGACAGATATTAAGGACAACCAAGTATTACATATATTCTTATGTTAATCTGAATGGAGAGGTTTTATCATACCATATTTCTTAGAGGAATGTTATAATTAAATACATCCCTTAGAGAAGGAATTTCCTCACAGAAAGAAAGACTATGATAAATAGAGTTCTGTTGTACAAAACGTAGAGTGATTTTATGAAAAAAAGACTGAAAATATAGCTTTGGTGTTTGGACTGAATTTCATCTGTGCAATGTGAGCCAGAAAGTCAAATATGAGCCCTGAAAAGCAGGATTCCAGCTAAGGACTCCGTATGAACAAAACTCATTTCTACCCAATTACCAACTCAATAACGTGTTCTTTTTCTTCTTCCAAAATGGAGATAAGAATCAAAAATCAGTAAGGGCATGTTAGATTCTATTTAAGGCAGAATGCAAGCATGTGAAAATAATTATTATATGTCCCAATAGAAATATACTTTATAGACTTCTAGCAATAGGCAAAGGAAAAAAATATGGTTTTATACATTTGTACAGTTACAATTAAGAACAAAATAAAAAATGTTAGGGCAGCAGTTACCAAAGTATACAAAAATAAACTACTTCACTATTTGTGGCGTTTAATCTTTTTGCATCATTAAATAAATATTGCTCTGCTAAACAACATTTTGTAACATTTCAGTCAAACTCCAAAAGAAATAAATATTTACTTTCTAAAATAATCCATATTTTCATCTGCGTACCCTGCATCTCATGTAATTTGTACTTCTCCATGCTGTATTTGAAAGCAAGTTCTGAGATAACCAACATCTTCAGACAACCTGCAGGCAGGTAGAATGGGCTTCAAAGCAGGTACTCTCTGTGCCCCCACCCTTCACAGTGCTGTGAATTATAAGTTCTTTCACAAACAATCCATAGATTATTTGTGTGAAAAGATGGCGTAAGCTCCATTCTAGAAAGCAGTGTCTCATCCCTTCTGAAACCTAACTCTGCTCTAGGCAGTCAAATATCTGTGGTTCTGGAGAGTTCCATGAATGCCATTTTCATGGAGCCTGGATGTGACTATGCTGAGCAGCTCATGGTACCAGATCACACAAGATGGAAAGAGCACACCTAACTGTCTCTTTTGATCTAACAAAGAATCCTACCTTTACCTCTAAGCCTTGTTTCTCTGTCAGCCTTGTCCATTTTTCAGCTTAAATGTTCATATGGTCAGCATGAAAAAATGTCTTTACCCTACCCGTCACATAGCCCACCAACAGCAGTGGTAATGCTGTTCCTCTAGCCTATTCTAGGAGGAATTAGTCCTTTCAGTTGGAGCCAGAGTGGAAAGAGTGAATGAGAGACACTGTCAGTCTGCACAACGCCCTGGGATTGTAGACAAACCAGCTCCCAGAGACCACAGTCACACAACTGTAACCACCCTACAGCTTCTGCAAAGCAAACATCAAAGTCCTCAGAATGGAAATAAAAACCACAGTTCTTCATTTCTAAAACCAGTGTCTCTGGTTCACGGGGGTGCACCCACTGGAGACAGCCAAGAGCAGGTCAATGCATCACTTAACTTCCACATAAGCCCTTAAAACAGGGCTGGAGAGAAAACAGTAGTGCCTAGGCTTTGCATCTAGATATGATGAATGGACAGACTTCCACCTTTCTGAGAAGGAAAGCATTTTGACTTCTTTAGGAAAACTGTTCCTCTGTCTTGCAAGTAATCTAATATCATATTTCTTTCTTATATCCATATGTATATTTTATATCCTGACATCAATTCAGTTTTTAATGAGATGAGAAGATTGAGAACTAAGGGGTTAATTCAGGTAGTAAACCTGAAGCAATGAGAGAAAGAATAAACAGAGGGAGAAAGGCCTACATGTGATTTTTTAAGAATTCATTTCAAATCCCTTTTAATTTATCCCACACGTAGGTCTTCCATCCATCCTGGATTCTCAATAAGGAACAAAACAGTTCACGGCATCACATTTTTACTTCAAACCAACCACCAAGTCTGTAGCATTTAAAACAGCAGAGATGCTCTCAGTTGTGTTAGCCAGAACTGTGGATGCAGGGTAAATGATTTCTTCAACTGTCACATACGTCCCTGTCAAAAATCCAACGACTCCAAAGACAGCTATAAAAATGTCTTTCAATATTGTCCACAGACGTAGGTTTTCCTTGTAGAAAGTGAGGATTTCAACCAGAGGTGGCAGAATCAGTGCCAGAGTGCTACTGCTGACAGCTCCAACCAAAGAAATCACCAGGTCTAGGCGAGGGATCAGAACCGCCACAGCACCTAAAACATAAGGAGAACAACATTGGCTGCAGATTCAACATCCTCATGAAAAAAAAAAAGAAAAAAAACCAATCACGATAAACACATAATGCAGTGATTCATGCTTTTAGAAATGTTCTGTCACTCACTATGTTTTCCAGATAAGATTGGCAGGCACAGCACAGATCAGCACATCTGTTTATGAGTAAGGTACATTTTCATGCTCATGTGTGATACTCAGTTTCAGTTTTGAATTTCTGCATGAGCTGGCGTAGCTTTAGGTTAAAATTTTGTTATACTTACAGGGTGAGTAAACTTGACCTGCAAATCACAGAGACGAGAGATATATGAAACTGTACAGAGACATTTTTAGTTTTTTATTTTATGGGTTTATTTTTAAGCCATAAAAGTTCAGGCAGAATAGTGGAAGGGGTCTTCAAAATGAGCTCAAAAGCTGCTGGCCACTTGGCAGGCTCACAAACATTTCTATCACTTATCTACAGGCTTGTCTGTTGAAAAATCTTGGTCTATACTATTGCATTCTGTGTAAAAAAATGAAGCAGTTGCCCAGTGAGCTGAATGAGAACTTAGTTCCACCAAAAGCTGAGTACGAAGAGAAGGCCCAATTAGCACGGTAGGATGGCATGGCCAGTCTCACCAAGAAGCTGGAGTGTTCCTGGGAACAGAGTCCAGCCTTAGAGAAGGAGCAGAACCCCTCCTCTTAACCCCTTTGGCCAGCAACCCTAAGATACCCAAGTATTAACTGAGCTATGCTGGTTTGTCACGTAACGTCTTCAGTTCTCTGTTAGAAGCTAACTTTCCAAGGTCAGCTGAGCACAGGCTCCAATATGATCCCACACTTTGGAAATGGCTGTCTTTTTTCACCTCTGTATGCATCCCACCAACTAAGTATTCTGGAAATAACATTTATGGCAAGAAGCAAATGGAACAAGCAGGAAGGAAATCATCACGTAACACATCAGGATAAAAAACAACATGTTCATCAGCTTTATAATGTCCCATGCTGAACTTTCCACTGGCAGAGTTTCTTCCCTGTGGACTGATTGCCATCAACTGCCTCAAATTCAGACCACACCTGGTTATGAAAGGCCACGTAGTCAAATTATGTTAGTGCTTATATTCTCCATGGAGAACATGGAACTTGAAGAAATCTGCATTGGCAAATACACTCATGCCAGCAGAGACACAGACTAGTAAGTGCACATACTGCAGCACAGCAACAACTGTGTTGGCTCCCAGTGTGGTACATCATGTCATCCCATTTATCTTGCCAAGAGCTTTCCCTTTGCTGTATCAAACCTCTCTGTATTCCAATTTAAAATGAACATAAGCAGAAGGAGTTCAGTCCTGTCTGGAGAAGATCCAATCAAAATTCACTTCCACAACAGTTACTTGCTGCTACCAGGCACCGTTTGCTAAGCATTTTGATAAAAACCCTAAGCACAGAGATACTGCATAAAAAGGATGGTTGGCCGAAGGTACAAGACTAAACAGGGATAAAGATCCTATTTGAAAGATAAATCTATTAACTTATTCTAGCTTGCCATTATTATAGTTTATTCATACTTCGTGATTCTACAGAGGCATGAGAGACTTAATGTCACCAGATGAAGATTGGGAAGAGACAGAACTGTACTTCAGGAAACCTTAGGAAAGACATGATACTCAAAAATGGATGAGCTAAAGTTTTTATCCCACCATTATGATGCACATACGCAGTGCCAAACGCATTCTTCCACTGCATGCATATGACATAACAAACTGGAAATGTCACATGTTTACATATTATCTAGGGCAAAGCTGAATAGAATGAGAAAGGAATTACACCAAAATTAATAAAAGTTACCAAGGACCAAGCTCTATAATTTTTGTGACCAGACATGTAGACGTGGCACTCATGGACATGGTTTAGAAGTCACGGTGGTGATGGGTTGACAGTTGGACTGGATGATCCTAGAGGTCTTCTCCAACCTTAATGATTGTATGATTCTCTAATTCTGTTCAGGCCACAAAAGCAGGTACTGTGACTGCCCACACAACACAGACTGAGCTCTCAGACTCACACAGGCAATCATTGATACTTGCACAACAATGCACAACAGGTAAGAATGTGTAAACTGCTGCTGAAGTATGTCTGCAATGACTGGAAAAATCTTAGGTAATTAATAAGCTGAATGTGTTCTTCTGAAGCAGGAGAGAGGGCTGAACATTTATTATCTTGCCAATTTAATAGATGTAGAGGGTGTAGTCATCAAACATGGAGTGTCAATTTCTGTAATAGACTTCTTTCAAATCTACAGGTGTTCAGGATTTGGAAGATACTCATTAATTTATAGGTCACAGTTTGGCTTGAAATCTTCTGTTTCATTAAAAATCATGATAATATTACTAGTAGTTATTTATTGGAAAAAAAAAACAAAATTTCAATTTATGATTGTTTCAGATTACAGAAAAGCAAAATTCTGTGTTGGCTTGTATCTTGTCAAATGTTTATCTGGCTCATATGTATTTGTATTAATCTGGATAATACTTGGGAGGAAGTTTTGGAAACACGTTTCAAGTTTTTAATTACACTCTTATGTATTCTGTAACAATCCAAGGGAAATGCCATTTTTATTATCTGCCAAATAAAGAAAAATGGGTGCAGCTTCTCCTTCTTATTTCCAGGAGAAGTAAACAAGAGGCATTTCAGCAAACACAAAGCTTTACTACCACTTTTCCAAGATCCAATCAGAAGACTGGAGCACTGATGGATTAGAAATGGGTGCCTGACATACATTGTCAGGACAATTGGATTTAACAGCTTTCTCAAAGCACAAAAGCAAAACCGTATTTTTAACCAAGACAGATGCCTATGATGTGTCAAGATTAGAGTTTCTTCGAGGAGGAAAAGATGCCTACAATGGGATGTTTGCCAAAGAACTCTGTTTACAGGCAAAATGGCACTTCAAAATGCCTGCCCACATTCTCCTTTCTACACTAATATCCAAGCTTCTGCTCACCAAAATAGAGAACGCCTTCCTTGGGAGTTCCACAGTGGAAGCTTGTAAAATTGTGTTTTGATACATATACAAAACAATATAGGACAAAGCAGAAACCTGTTATTAATCTGAAGCAAAACTGTCGAATGCAAATAATTAGTTAAGAGCATTTGTGAATAAATTACAGAGCTTTGCAGATATGCAGGAAGAAAATCTATGCGTTAGTGGATAAAGTTTAAGGAAAAAAGATTCCAGATAAAGAACCTGGTATTACATAATTGTGATTTTTTTTTTTTTTTTTTCTGGCTGCAAATGCTAATTGACATGGGGTTTGAGGTGCTGTTTGTTTCAACTGTCCTTGGAAACATCAAAAGACCATTAGACACAGATAGAAGATGATTTCCTTTAAAATCTAGATCCAATTTTCAAACACAAAAAAAAATCATTTCTTAACCCAACTCCTTTAAATGCATACTTTTAAATACGAGTTCAATCTCAAACCCAAAATCCAACAAATCAAAGGAGAAAAAAGGTGAAAAATTGAACTTTCACAGCTAGCATGCAGAAGAACCACACACACCATATGGTTTGGCTCTGGTCCCTCTGGAGTGAAAAACCTTCACCAGATGTGCCTCCAACATCCAGCATGCTTGGGGCTACAGATGGTACCTCACATCCAGCCTTCCATCTGCCCTTGCACTGCAATTCACTTTGGCCTACGTTAGTGGGAAGGAATAGAGTCAGTCATGCTCAGGTTAAGTAACTTCACTCGTCACAAGAGGTAACACTGCACCAGGCAGCAGCTGAGCCCTGCTCAGTGCACGGACAGCTCTGTTCCTCCTCTGGAGCCCTCCACATCCACATCTCAGAGATTCAGAAGCAAATTTATTCTTTATAGCACTTCACAGCACAGATTTTGAAGCCATTATAAGAGGTTAGTAATTTATGTTCTCTTTCTTTATGCAGAAAGAAGCATAAAAATGATGTCAGAGATAATGATGACTTAACAGAGGTATCAAACCCACTGTTTTCTTACCAGCTTACCTAACACGCTTATCTAGGACTGGCACATACACTTCTGTAAGAACTCCTTGAAGGAAACCATTCCATCCATGTCCCACTAAGAAAGCACCTCCTCCCATGCTGTCTGCACTTCATACATCCCCAGCATTTAAGCATATAATTCATTCAGGCTTCAGGATTTGCACTTACTTTAAGCAGGAGTTGGTGTCACAACCGCCACATGCAGGAAGAGGCTGTGTAACAGGGACAGAGAGGAGTGGCAGTCCTGAGTCTATAAGGGAACTCCCCCCTCAACTCACCTCCCAACGGCAACTTGCTCACTCTTAGTAAAATGCTATAGCAGTTACTGCTCCTCTCTGCCTTATTGCCTGCTCACACAGGGTTGTGTCTCCCCTCATCAGACCATCAGAATTCATGCATTCACAAAGCACCCCTCTTGGAGTCCAGCGTGGAAAGCAAAGTAGGCAGTAAGACCCTCCGGATGGAGCTCCAACACCAAGTGACCTTCCCAAAGCTAATGTGCACAGGTGCTTGGCACAGCACACTGATTTATCTGCAAATGTATTTCCACATTCCATTAAGTACAATCTGTGGGCTCGCGAATGGCATCTGGTTAGACTGTCGCATTTGAAATGCTGTATTTATTCATTTGTCTCAGCAGTAGATTTATTTCAGCTTTGCTACTGATACTTACAAATCTGTTCAGACATACTATGCTACAATAGTTTATACAACTGCAATATGCAGCCAGATCCAACAAATGAGCATAAAGCATGCAGTAAAACATTAATACTGAACTCCAAATGGATGATCCTGGCCATTACAGTATTGACACTGTTCCCACTGCCAGTCACTCTCTTTCAGGCATCTGAAATGAGTTTGCAATTTAACTGTCCCCTCTGGTTCAGTCTCATAAAATAAATTCCTTTTCTGAGACAGCTGAAGGGCTCCCAGCAGTGCAAGCAGAAATGAATGTCGCTTATTCAAGGACAAGAC